AGTAGCCGACTATCCAATGATTAGGAATTTGGGGTTCTCCATTGTCTTCTAGAGTGAAACAATACGTATTGTGTGATCTGGTAGTGACCAGAAGCAATTATTTATATGATTTATTAAGAGTTGGTACTACGAATAAACACTTGTTTCATATAAATGTTTTGGTTCATTACCACACTATCAAGAATATTTTGAAAATTGTTTCAAAATGCTAATTTCAGACATTAGCTGGGATTTGTTATTACATTTGGATAATTTTTATTCGTAATTCATCAAACAATGTAAATCAGTATCATCCAAATTATTGAGGGAATAGGCTAACTTTTTAATAATCGAGAATAATAGAGCGACTTTATGTATCAATGACATTATTATTCGCGTCTTGTCATATTATGGTAAGATACTTCTGACAAATTTCTTGCTGTAACTTTGCGGCATCGATAAAATCGTTTTGTATTAATAATCTTCTGGTAAACCATGTGCCGACCGCAGTGATTGATTAGTTTTGATGCCTGTGGGCTTTCGACTATCATCCCATGTGTTAGTTCTACGTTCAGGCCTTTTGAGTTAGGTCTCGAAATCTTGAGAACTTCCTGTCATTGAAATTATAATTTGATAGATAGTTTAAGCTCAGATGGTCTTGTTTATTATATTGATTAAAATTTAATTTATACTTCACTTAGTAATTCTTCCAGGGTGCCTCCATGAACAATCACGTTTCAAACACTGACGTAATATTCGCAAAAAGACATCAATAATTTGATCCATGAACGTCAAGGTTGTCAATATTATTTGCGAGGTCCTCTTTGGGAATTCTATTGAATTCATACTTTCCCCCAAGCAGCTTTGCCAATGTTATAGTTTACTGTCGCAATTTTACAGGGTGGGCATTTTAACTGAAACTAGTTCGCGATAAAATATGTAAACAAAACGCAAAAACAAGTCTTTCAAAGGGTGAAGCCTTGCCCCAATTAATTTTTTTTAAATTAGATGATACCCTTGTGGACCTTTTTGCCAGTTTAAATGTGATTCACAATATCAGAAAGACCACACCACTAAATCCTATTAAAAGAAGATTACCAAAAAGAAAATGAACATTGAAGAAAAATGAACAGATACCTACTGTTCAGAATTGAGTAATTATTATTTATCGATATTAATAGGACTCCGTCAAGAGTCAAGAATCGAGCGTTGAGTTTTTATAAACATATACTTTTTTTTGGGGTTTTGCGCGCGATACCTCACGATGGAGATACGGAGAAACCGGAACCTACGACAGTGTTAAAAGTACAGCTCTAGTCGACGAGCGTCACGCTCTTTCAATCCGCGTTTTTTGGTGACAAGCCGAGAACAATCGATATCAATGATTTCGGTTATCGGGTGTGCTTTCGCTCAATAAATAATACCATCCAGAAGCTCATTTTTGGTAGCATCAAGAAACCCCGGCCGGGTAAGATAGAGTCCAGGACACAGAGGTGAGACCTTACCAATACCCATTTTTTTATCTTTATCGTGAGTCGTTTTTTCTTATTGTCAATTTATTTCAAAGTTAAGTTTGCCTGTTTCTATTAAAACAGGCTGGTCCTAAACACCTACCTACCCGCTAAAAATGTTTGAATACAATTTTCTCAAATAAAAGTTTTTGTAACATGTCACCTTTATTCACCCAATTAGTTCGGGGTCCTCCAAATTACGGGAATACGCTGTTTTCTATTTGTCGTAAAAGTGACAGTGGGGCCGGAAAAGACCAATTTATCAGTAGATCGCGATAGCCACTAATTGTTTTACTCTCTTAATTTAAGCGAGAGGTCGGTAACTGTTCTCAAGGGTCTGCGGCACGGCTTGAACAAGAACAAGGCTATATTTTTTTTTCAATTTGGGGTCATCTAAGGAAATTTGTCAGAAAAGTTTTTTTTTTTTTTTCTGTAACCACAAACTGTATTGATTGAACTAATCTATTTATTTGAAGTGTTTGGAATTTGAGACAAATTTTTATCTACTAACACTTGTTCTTAGTGACTATTTATTTGACTTTATACAACATCTGGCTTCTAAGTACATATACAAAAATAGGTATTTCCTCACAAAAAATCACCAAATTACCTCACGCAAATCAATCTGATTTTTTTCATATTGATGGGTGGTGATTTTTTTTATCATAGTATCTCTAATATCTTGCATGTTATGTTTCTTCTATCTGTTGAGACAGAGCACTATGTGTTACCATCGCCATGAATTTCAGGACAAATAAAAGCAGGACTACATTTTATTGTGTGTCGCCTTTTGTAAATTGAAAGGATGCATTGCAGTATAGCTCTAACCAATCACAGCACATCAGAGCGAATATCAGAAGAGGATTCTGGAATGGGATATTTCCAAATTTACTCATAATCATTATCAATTTTTTTCAAATAAAAATCTTAGCAGTTTAGTAGATCGATGTTATTATTATTCGGCACGTATGGTTGACATCCCACAAATATGAAAGATCGATGCACAACCCGCAGCGGCTTCCGATTGGGTCAAGGTCCCCTCGGGAACATCTTATCCCAAGGAGAGTAGCAAACTTTCCTCAGGAACGCCTTATCCCGAAGAGTAGCTACACACTTCTCTATAGCGTCACCTTACCCCAGAGAGTCGTGAAGCAATCTCCTTTATGGCATCGCCGCCTTACGTGTGGGGACCAGTTGCACCCCGTATATGTACCCACTAGCAGACAATATAAGTTGAGCCCCTTTTTGTAGTTGTGTATTTTCCTGAAGAGCAACCCCTACCTCAAGTCAAACCCTCACTGGCCGCAAGGTCTATGCGACATATGGGGAGGTGCCGTTGTTAAGAGTCCCGTGCTGAATCCCCATATTCAGCATCGAAGTACCCAGGAGAAGGCAACCGTTGCTACCTGATTTTTACGCTGCAAGATTCTTTACAGTGTCGCGAAAAAACAGGCAATTACAGCATCTACATGAGCAAGAAATACGTTCTCCGCTCTGCTAGTAAGGAAATGGCGTTTGAAAAACCTGTGATGCTGAATCTCCCTATCAAGCATCGAAGTACCCAAACGAGAATAGAGTAAATTGTAGTCTCCAGGGAAGGCTGTCGCCATCATTGTATCAGGAATGATGTTTGAATATGTTGGTTGTACATAAAAGTGACATTGGCCGAGGTGTCAAGAAAACTGACATAGAGCAGACTTCTCGATTACGCAGTCGTTCAGCTAGAAGATCCAGGGTCTTCCGCTCTGGATTCAGTGAAACCAGAGGAGCCAGAGAAGACGCCTTGAGGCCTACTTCCAAATACTAATGGTCAGGATGACGGATCCAAATCCAAAGAAAAAGGACAATCGCTTCCATAGTCCAGCAGCTTCTAGGAGCAAGAGCAGGTCAAGGTGGAAGAGTACCTAATTTTTACTTTTGGTTAGGTTTAAATTGATTTTAGAATATTTTCTTTTTGGTGTACGATTTGGCTGGTGTATTTGTTGGTATTTGATTTTTGTCTTTAGAATTTGATTGTTATATAGGTTATTTTTATTTTCGGTTAGGTTCAAATTGATTTTAGAATATTGTCTAAAGACAATAAATGGTTAACGATTTTGTTGGTATTAATGGTATTTGATTTTTGTGTTTAGAATTGGATTGTTAGGTAGGAAATAAGACATAGAATTAGGAAATAATTATTGTAGTAATGTTAAGATAATGATACGATGTAAAGAAACGATCACATGGGTCTTAGCTTTGGGGGCCAACGCTTTCACGGAGAGGGCATATGTCAACTGGTAAAATATAATGGCCCTATGACTACAAATAATAAAATATGCAGCATCACCATTTAATGATTTACCAGTTTAGTAGGTCGATGTTATTATTGATAGGCACGTATTGTTGACATCCAACAAGTATAAGAGATCGATGCACAACCAGCATCGGCATCCGTTTTGGTCAAGCTCTCCTCAGGAACGCCTTATCCCAGGAGGAAGGAATTAATTAAGCATTATTGAAGAACAATTATTTTTATTAAAATATTTATATTTCAATGAGAGTAGCTATAACCGTCCCCAGGGTCCGATTCTCGGGCCAGGGAGTAGAGCTCCCCGAGAGAACAAATTTTACTTCTTTATCATTCAGGTTTACTTTTCGATTACGTTGAGAAGGACAAAACATTTGTTCTATCGGGAAGCTCTACTGCCTTAGACGAGAATCCAGCCCCAGGGATACCTTACCCCAGGGACCACTTAGAGTCGCAATAGTTGAGTACAGTGACTGTGCTCTATAAGCTCCGTACTGACGCAGAGAGCAAGTGGCGAATCTACCTAGCGGCCCTCTGGTAGGACCCTGTAAAGGAACGTGACCAATAAAGGCTTTATTTGTCGTTTGTGTTTTGCTGACGCCCCTTGACTCAACTCTTCTTCCCACCCAGAGTCACTATAGGCGCAAGCACCTTTGTGACAATAGTTTATTTGGAAAATAGTTTTTTGAGTAGGTATATGTATTTTCAAACTTGACATATTCCCCAAAAAAATTTGAGCCTATCAATAAAACAATACCACCCAAGACTAATACTCACCCCGCCTATACAACACGAAGAATTACGAAATAGGCATTTCTAAAAGCTTTCGGTATATTTGATACTTTCTTCAGTCACCCCAAAATATAGTAACATTTAGAAAATTTGCAGTGATGGAGGATGCTATGAAGCTGACTGAAAATATCGGACGCAAGAAGTAAAAATTAAAATAATAATCGGTGAAATGAGTGATTTCACAGTTTAAATGACAATGTATATAAATTGCTACCTAAGAAAAATAAGGAACAATTAATAGTGAGTTTTGAACAAAATGTAACATAATTGGTTAATAGATTCAATTATTTATTAAATATATTTATGATTGGTATTATTGAGTAAAATTAATCAGGACAAGCGCCCAGAGGCGATGTGAGGTGCTTCTATTTGTAGATTTTGTTCATCGTCTCTATGAAAGAAGAAACTTGACAAAGCGACTCTGCGAACTATCGTTGATTGGTTCTGTGGCTGCATCCTTGGGTTTGTTGGTCCAAGGAAGTGGTCTCTTCTAGGCTGAGCGTTCGCGTGCTGGAATGTGTGGTAGTGGATTTTCTTATCCTCCAGGTATTGCACAATGCTCCTGTAGTCCTACACCGTGCCTGGGAGCAGACGTGCCCCTTCGCTGGAGGCAACGGCTTCTTGATGTTGATATAGTTAATGTTCCTCAGTTCTATCAGGGATACGTGGAGGTGGAGGAAATAAGTTTGTCCATGTTGTTCGGTCCACACAGGAAAGATGGTGAGCGGCGTTTTGTTTGGGGGCAGGCTTGGATTTTCATCTTCCAGTAGGCTGTGAAATTGTAAGATGGCTCTGGCTTCGTCAGCGATTTGAGCCGTGGTGGTCTCATCAGCGGTTTGACCGGTGGTGGCCTCGGCGTTCGACTTGCTATTGCTGCTGCTTCCGGAAATTTTTTGCTTTTGGCGCTTTTTTGCCTCTAGAAAAGAAGTCATATCATCCTCGATCAGTAGTTGGGGGGGCGAACGAGCCGGGTCATTTTCCCTACTAGACTACATCGGGCACAAAACTTTCATTATAGGTTTTTGAAACACTTAAAAACTCGGCTAAGGCTTGACATCAGAAGCGTGCGTAGGTATTTTTTTATGAAAAGATTTTACATTATTTTTCACGTTGCGTTTGATTTTGAGGGTATATTTTTCACGAAAAAAGCTTGGATTCTTGAAGTTTCGAAATCCGCCCACTATATTGGCTATAACCTCTCTTGTTTAGCTGTGAAGAGCTTTTCCTTGCGCATGTTTATTCATATTATTTAACATCTTTTTGCTACGCCACTGAATGAAACCTTGATCGAACAAAGAACGTTAGGCAACCAACACGCCAGTGTAACAAAATTTAAAGTGTGCCGCCAAACTGAAGGCGCCATCGCGCTGGTGGAATTCCAATCGCTCAGTCATTTTTGGCTATTCCACATACGGGAAGTATGGCTCGATTTGAAACGTTCCACATTAACGACCTTTGATTGATCTCAGTGATGTCGGATTTTGGAAATAAAATGGATTTAGGATATATGATTAATTAAATGGAGAAAATATTAGGATTTGATGTTTAAAAAATGTTAATTATATTATCATTATATTTTCATCTTATTCTTAAAATATTATTGTATAAAGAATATTATTCTTCGTATTATTTCAGAGACGAAGGAGATTTCATTGCAATTTTTATGTAATAATATTATTGATTTGACAACGCCGCAATAGCGAATTTTCCCCTCTGCTTCTTCAGACGTCATAGCTCTAGAACCATGCAACTAACTTTAGGTACGTTTAGTTGGTATAATTTTTAAAAGAGATATCTTTATTTAAATTTCTGTCAAGCTATTTTTACAGTACACCAACCAACATAAACCTAAAATTTGTAATAGGAGATAACTTCTAAAATGAGATATTGTTCGATCTCTTTCAACTGTTGAATTAGCCTAACTACGGATTATCCTGAATTTTATCTCTCAATTATTCTGAGTGATTTAATCTGAATGATATCCTGGAAATATTGAAAGGATAAATAAATACAATCAGAAATTACCAATGGATACTCCTATTCTCACACCGTTTAATGAGTGAATGGACGTTTATGTTTATTTTAAGGTAAGATATTTAGTTTGCTAGATAAGTCGGAATTTACATAAAAATAGATGGCAATAAGATATTGTCACGGAGTCTATCTCGCTCCGCTATGTAGCTCGACTATTCACCCTGAAAAGCAGAACGTGAAGGAAAAAGGAACACCAGAATAAGTTTAGATAAATAATATATTTAATGTTATAGGGCGGAGATTACATTTCGAGTACAACACACAAATATTACCAAATTACTATCATCCCGAGCCAGCATGTCCCTTCGGGCTGAGGAGGATCTAAGGGCACCTGAGCGAATCCGCCGGGTATAAGCCCAAGCTTGATCTTTATGGTCAGCTAAGAAAATCAAAGCAACACTACAATAGAAGCTAGGAAGCCTGTGCTGCAGAGCAGAGTCTGGGTCTGGGATACGCAATCTCTCTTCGTCTAGATACCAGACTTAGTGTGGTATAGAATAAAGCAATGTGCTGCGCGGTTTCTTGATCATTATCGCGCCTTCCCGCGTGTACCAGTGCTGGCCCTACTGCGTATTGTCTGTGAAAAGTTAGGTAAAGCAGCATTATGGTCAATATAGGGTTCCATATGAACATTAAATTATGGCTTTCAGTATGAAGTATCTCTGGAGTTGTTTTTTAATTTCCGCTCATCTGGTACGTTATTTCTTTGGATTTGAGAACTTGATGTTATGTTAATATGCGGTGTTGTCAGAGATCAATTAGGATTCAAACATTCGTTTATGTTGTTGAATCTCACAGACTGTGTGGTTATTGATGGATTTAATACAAAGGTTTTTGTGTGTGTCCAAGCGGCAGGTAAGACATAAGTACGCCAAACGAGTTCAAACACGTGACATATTGAAACTAGCGATTGGCCGAAGGTGATCGCTTATGTAACCTACCACCATAGTGTCTTGTATACACTGGAATAGTGGCGATCCGGTTGGTTTCCATTTCGCTTCCCTGCAGGGCGCTGCTTTGAATAATGTACTGATTGGCGTACAAAATACACTAAAGCGACCGTTTATGATTTGTATTTTTATAATGGTTTATAATACTGTTTTCGCCTAAACCACATTTATGTGGTTGGGATTGAAACTGTAAGTTTTATGTGTTTTGCTATGTCCATTTAGCGGAAGGATTCCAGAAAATGAAGTTTGTTCGATTGTCATTATTTTTTTATTTTTCATAAATAAAATGCTTTTTTATTTTATTGTGACACATTATATCTAATATTTTATGTGTTAATAAATCAATACTTGAAGTTACTAAGGATTAAACATTACTTTGAAGGTATCAACATTCATCCCGATTATGAAAAGACATTTTTATTTGAGTGGCGTACAAAGTACACCAAGCGACCAGTTATGTGAAATAAAATCTAGCGACCAGTTAAGAATTAATGCTTCTTTTTCCTTGCACGGAAATATCTGTTGTATTAATGTTTTGTTCTGTATTTGTAGACTGTATTGACAAGGCAAGTGGATCCTCAGTGCTCCTGTTGTTACGACTGATTTGCCATAGTCTGGCCCGTGGCTTTTATATCCAATATTTGCTGACTATCATTACGTTAATTAGTCTGATTGTGTTTTCTTGCTTAGTTTCAATAATTTTTTCTAACCTGTGGGTCAGTGTATTAAATTTGGTTATAGCCCGTGGTCCCATGTAGGGTTGATAATATCACAAAGGATCTTTGATTGCTTCTAGTTAAAATATTAATTCACGATAATTCAAACCAAATGTATGATTGAAAACGCCTATATTTTCCTATTTTTTCACATCTCTCCCTGCTAGTAGGTATAGGTAGGTAATCACATTTAGAATAAATATACATTGTTTTTTTTTTCCATTTTCTATATAACCTCACAGCATTTAAAAAAAGCTTCTGGTTTGCATGATGAAATAAGACAGGAATATCGACGAAACATATTTGAATAAGTAAGAAAAGAGAACGTGGATCATATTGGAAACATTTATCGAATAAACTCTGTAATAGATAGAATTTATCTATCTTGACATTTAATATCAAAAATAACGTTTCTGAAATTTTGGTAATCATTTATTATGTCAGAATTTTAGTAAATATGGATTTCTTGTGGGACTTGCTATTTGATTGGTTTGACATCGCAATAAAAACATCGATAATAGACTTGCCTCTATTTAAATCGTTAAATTTATTCTAGAAAGTTTCTTTGAGATAACTAATAATAATTATTGTTCTCCATTTTAGAGAATGCGAAAGCGGACCAGAAATTGTACACCTACAGGCAAAATTAAAGTGTGAACTTTTTTGTGGTGTAGTTTTTTAGGTTGAAGGTTCAAGTCTGGTCTAAGCTAGGTTTCGTTATTGAGGATGAGATCTTCTCAATGTATCAGATGAGTGATTAGGTTCTCCTGGTCAAGTATGATACCTCTGGCACTTCATAGCACTACGGAAGGCTTTTGTGTGAAGGTCAACATGGTTGTTTTGAGTGTAATTTCCAAAAGTTTGAGTCGTGACCCATTTTTGGATTATTATTTTCGACGATTTGATTGAGTATGTTGTATTTTTCCATTTGGGTATTTTTACTTAATTTATCGATTATAAGTTCTGGGCTGCCATTTTATTTACTTTCTCTGTTATTTTAACTGCATTTTCTGGCGTTTGCTAAGTGGATGATTGTTGTAATCGAGTTAACTAGCTTGTACTTTTGAGAAGTCTGTGAATTATCGAGAGGAGGATATTTTCGGAGAAGATATTTTGATTTAGTTAAGGAAGAGATATGGGGAATAATATTTAATAATTTGTCCGTTATAAGGATTGCTTTCTAGAATGTTTACCTTAGGTTTTTTACAGTAAATTGCCTACGTTGGGTAAAACGTTCCATATTCATGAACTTTCAAGAAGTAGTACTTGAAGACTGACAGTACGTCACTAGGAGCTAGTATGGAACTGTTTCCAGGGGACCAATTCTGATCATTGTAGGAAATGGTCCTTCGATCGAGAGCAGTTATCATTAGTTCATTTTCGTCAACTTTTACCCACTAAAAAGCCCAGCAGCTGTGGAAAGAAATCACAAAAAAATTAAAAGCTATTCGAGTCAGAGCCTCAAAGGACTGGTAAACTAAAATTGCAATGTTAGTGGTGATAAACTATTTTTTTATTTTCTACTAGCAGTATTAAAAAAAATTCTATATATTCCTCGGTAGAGAAAGTCATTATATACCTCACGCATTATAAACCTCGGCGTTTCGCGCCTTGGTTCATAAAAGCGCTCAGTATATAATGACCAACTTCTCTACCTTGGTATATTATATGCTATTAATGATCTGAATAAGCCCCTTCTGTCTCTTGTCACGATGCCCGGGGCAGTTGATTTTATTAAATCTAATAGATAATTTAAATCTGCCTTCACGCAAGAAAGGTAGCCATTATATTGATGAATGTTCTTGCAACAGCCTTAGTGAGGCGAAAATTTTTCAAAAACTTGATATCTACGGAGCAATATTGGAAGAATTAACCTACCTCTTGAGCCGCCTCTACATCTCTTAATAAATGATGGATAATCTCAATTTCATCAAAGTTCATTTTCGTGACTCACTAGTTTAGTTTAATGAAATTAGAATAAGCTGTATGACACGGATTGCCACTGATACCGAATACGTAGCTAATGCGCATGCTTATCTCGATATAATTCCCGTTCTATTAGTCTGTAAAGGAGGTTCTATAGGTACCTTCTTGAATTAGACAAAACCTGCCGCCAGATACCGAATCATCAGAATAGATCCAAGGAAACTGTGGAAACAATTTAAATTTTGAAAAGGCACAAATATTCCTGTGAAGGTGACAGCAACCTTGGGAGA